TCTCTCGTTTCCCCCTCCTTTCCCCCCTCCCATCCCCCGGCCCCCAGTGCCGCGCCACCGGGCCACCCACATGAGCAAGATGTCCAGCAGCACCGCCTGCGCAGCGTTGTAGCGGATGTAGCGGCTCAGGCTGGTGTTGTTGACGATGCCGCCATACACCCCGAGGAACACGATGAAGGGGAAGAAGGGGAACAGGTGGTACAAGGCGTTGAGGGGGGCCAGGGGGGCCAGGGCGCGCGCCACATAGGGGTACTGCAGGAAGATGAACCTGGGGGAGGGTGCCGGGTTTGACAAAGGGGTGGTCGGTGGTTCAGGACAGGGTGCTGTTGATTTTGTGTCGTCCCCGTGTCGAGCGAATCGCGTCTCCAAGCTACAGGGTGACAGCTGCTGCATTCCTGCGCGTCAGGCCCCGCCCGACGCAATCTCCCCACACAATCCCATTGCGGCCCCCCGCCATCCCTGCGTGCCCCGCCGCTGGCACTAACTCCTGCGCCCCCCCCCCCCGGCCGCCGCTTGGATTTAAGCAGCCGTGATCAAGGTATTGCGTGCACGTCCAGGACCCGGGCTAGCCTGCGCTGAGCCGCAGGCTGGATTGACCAGGTGCTGCGGGCCGCAAGCACTGAGCGCAGTGCGCATGCTGTCTATGCTGTGGACCCAGCCTCCGCACCTGCCATATGGCAACGTGTCCAGGAGGGGCAGGAGGTACGGCAACTGCGGGGGCAGGAGGTCATTCAGACACAGGGGTTGCAGTCAAAATATGGCAGGCCAGGCGGCCTGCAAAGCACCCACCGATTCACCGCGTTTGCGCAAAAAGCTACGAGACGATAACAACTACGAGCAAGCACAGTCAGCTCCAAGCGACCGCTCGCCACGCCATCCGAGCTGGTGCAGTTTGTGGATGCGGCGGCAAGCACGCGCAGCACACACATCACGGGCACTCACCGACGCCAGCAAGCGGTCTGGTAGGTCGGGACCCCGCTGCATGTTAAACGCTGCCGCGACCACTTTCTCCCGCTGGCCTTTGAAGGGTCCCATTGTGCGCTGTGGGAGGCATGTCACAGGTGGACGCCGGGGAACGCAAGCCCTGGAGGCGCGTCCTCCTAATAGGCTGCGCTGAAGCATCATTGGTGATGCGCAAGGTCGAAGAAGTGCGCTGAGCTTGGTGACTCGTCGATCGATCTGTGCTGAGCAAGTGGCGCAACGTCTAAAATATCCGCGAACAATGAAGAAAAGGAGAGTTGTGACAGCCATTCACACATGCGCAACACGCTTGTCCGATGTGGTGCACTTGCTTGCCTGCCTTTCTCGCTGCTGTGCTCGCCCATGTACCTGCCCAACCAAACCCTCCAGGCATTCTTTGGCAGCAAGTTCACCTTCTAACGTATCTTAATCCATGTACTAGCCTTTAGAAACACATATAGGAGCAGCAGCGGGGCTCGTGGCACAGCGCCTACTGCAACATGGCGGGGGACGCCTCAACAGCGGCCATCGCCTCTACGGGGTCGACCAGTAGCGTAATATTTGCGCTATGGGTCCCAGCCTTCATATTCGGGCACGCGTTCGCCCTTTTTTGGCTCACGCGGGCAGCCCTGCTGAAGAACCCCCAGCTCAGCCTGCTGACGCTGTTCAAGCGGGTTGGATCCGCGAAGGGGCTGCCCAAATCAGCACAAGATGATATGAACAGGGCCACCAGCCTGGACAACACCCTCCTGGCAGAGGCAACCGAAGCAGCAGCGACAACCACTTCGGGCAGGAGGCTCGGAGGTGCGTCGAAATGCGCATGACAGTGCATTATGGCAGTATAGATATGCCATACAGTCCGTCAGGGGTGTGCAGGGTGGGCAAGGGCGGGTGTGCCGCACGCCTCTGGCTGAGCTGCTGCAGCTGCCAAATGCTGCAGTGATTGCAGTGGTGCATGCAGCAGCGCAGGTCAGGCGTGTGGCCTGTGACAGGCGTTGTATCGCGCGCTCTCACTTGGCCAGAGCCAAACGGCAACCGTCGATCGCCCTGCTCACCTGGTTCGCATCCCCCGTGCGCAGGGCCACCTGCGCCACCCTCTGGCATTCTCCCAAAAAAAGGCTCATACGATGGCGGCATCGTTCGGCGCTCCAGTGCGGGCAGCGGTGGCAACCGCTCAGTTGCTGAGGTTGCGCGTATTGAGCTGGAGTGGCAGGCCCTGAGCTGTTGCTACCGTACCAACCAGGGGGACAAGTGGGTCCTCAAGGACATCTACGGCGCTGCGCAGCCCGGAGAAATGCAGGTGCGTGAGCCGGGGATGGCCAAGGATGCAATCAACAGATTGATGTATGAATACGTTTGGCGCTTCTGTACGAAACAGAACTAGGCACATGCGTGCATGCATCTGGACTGGAAGAACCGCAACAGCGCATTGACTGGCACGCGGTGGTGTACGGCGGGGATGCGGTTGTCATTGGGAGGCTACAAACCTGGAAATGCGTTTCTAGCGTACAATGGATGCCGTTGCATGGCATTTTTCACACAAATATACCTGGTGGATTGCCTGGTTGCAGGGGCCCTGCACCATGCGAGCAGCCAACCCCACCCCGAACCCCACTCCCAACCACCAGCAATGGCCCCAAGCCTGCATTTGCCCTCAATTCTGATGCACACGCACCGGCATGCTCAGGCTCTGCTGGGCCCCTCCGGTGCTGGCAAGTCCACGCTCATGGACATTCTGGCGCAGCGCAAGTCAACCGGCAACTTGGGGGGCAGCATGCTGGTCGACGGCATGCCCGCGACCGGCAGCTACATCCGCCGCACGGCCTACGTGCCCCAAAACGACAACTTTGTGCCAGTCATGACCACTGTTGAGGTGGGCGGCACCACCTATGGCGCGCCGCGGAGGAGTTGGCCTGGGTGGGCAGCAAGGTGCCTGCTGCAGCTGTTGCATATGGGGTGTGGTAGCCTGCCATGGTTGCATGCGCCCGACCTTGGCACAGACTTGCACTCATGCGCCCAGTTGGAACCTCCTTGCACATGTACGTCTGTTTGTGCGTTCCTTACTGCAATGATTGCAGGTGATGCAGTTTTACGCGGGCATCATCCTGCCGCGTAGTTGGAGCAAGGCGCGCCGCGCCGCGCGCGTGGAGGAGGTGCTGCAGGAGATGGGCCTCGCGCACGCCACAAAGACGCTGGTGGGCGGCACATCGCCGGGCGGCCTGATGCACCGCGGGCTGAGCGGCGGCGAGCGCAAGCGGCTGTCCATCGCGGCCGGCATCCTGGCAGCGCCCAGTGTGGTGTTCCTGGACGAGCCAACCACCGGGCTGGACTCCTTTGCGGCGCTTACGGTGGGTTTGAGAAAAACACATGGTTAGGCAAATAGTATGCAGCTTCAGTGGGGGCCAGGGGCAGATGCAACAGCGACCAGGCACACGTGTGTTTTGCAAGCGGGCGGGCCTGCGGCGATTGGGAGAATCCGGCGCTCTTGTGCAGTTCAAACACTGATGCAGCTCGCCATTGAGCTGATTGAGATGCTGTGTTGGGTATCAGATACAAAAGTTGAGTGTCAGCACAACTTGTTCCCCCTGATCACACCCTGCGGCTTCCCACCTTGCCACACCCCTGGAAACCATTGCACCATCCTCAGGTGATGGGCTTCATGAAGCGCATGGCGCGCGACAACGGGCACATTGTTATTGCCTCCATCCACCAGCCGCGCTCCGCCATCTGGTCCATGTTTGACACGGTGGGCCCCGGGGCAGAGGAGTGCACGGGGTGTGAAGCGTTTTGCAGTGTGTCGGCATGTGCCCCTAGGCGGCTGGCTATGGACACACAGTTGCACAGCACCTGTTGAACGTGGCTTCGTCAAAGCTCGCAAACGCGGACAAGCAGAGGCCATGTGCCTGCTGCAGAGCCGCACATCGCCCCGCTGCCTGTGCGCGCCCCTCCCTCCTCCTCATCGGAGGCCCCGCCCCGTCCCGCGCCTCACCCCGCCTTGCGCGCAGGTGACGCTGCTGTCGTGTGGCCGCCTGATGTACACGGGCATCTGCGACGGCCTGGTGGAGTTCTTCCACACCATCGGGTTTGACTACGACGCCAACCTGCACGGCGTCGTGTCGGACTGGGCGCTGGACCTGGTGGCCTGCGGCAGCCACAAGCCCAAGAAGTTCTACGGCCACACCATCACCTCCAAGGACGAGGTGCCCGGGCGCGGGACGGGAGGGGAGGGGGCGTCCAGGGTCATTTGCCCAGGGCTGTGATGGCCGCCATTGTGGGTACGCCTAGCAGATGGCCGCTTTTACCTCAATTTTGTGGGTTTGTGTGCCCTTTGAAGCCTGTAGATGCAGCACGCACTCACGTTCCCCGGGCCGCCTGCCACCCTGCTCTGCCCGGCAGGTGCGCACCGTCAGCGCCGCGTTTCTGGCGCGCTGGATGGACCTGCGCGGCATGACGGTGGAGGACCTTTCCCTGGGTGGCGGCCGGGACAGCAACCCGGGCGGCACAGTGATCAGTGTGCGCAAGGCCATCACGGCGCGCT